CAATGACTTCCATAGCACCCACTGACTCTTCATAGCGACCACGGACTTTCCACAACAGCCGTAACCTCTCCATAGCGACCGCTGGCTTTGCATAGCAACCAGTGAATTTGCATAGCAACCAGTGACTTCCGTATCAACCAATGACTTTTTCTGGCGACCAATGACTTCCATAGCACCCATTGACTCTTCATAGAAACACTACAAGTATTATAAGATCTATTGCGTAACTATACAATGATAGAACATAGCATATACGTAATACTGACACTTCTAAAGAGAAATGTAAATGACACTTAAACACACAAGTCAAGGTAATGTTACTCAACTTGTCCCTATGATTCCAGCACATTTGCCCTCTAGATGATTGCGCTCCATTATTTGCAGTTGTGGACATTTGCCCACACATATGTTTGGAGCTGGACAGCTGTCCCCTAGATGTTTGCGCCCTATTATATTCCGTCATGGACACTTGCTCCCTCTTATGAGGAGGGGGGCATTCCCTGTCACCCTCCTCCTGTCCCAAATTTTTGAAAGGCGGACATTTGCCCCACTGAAATAAAAAAAAATTGTAAGGCGAACATTTGCCACCTGTGTTTTTTATGGTGTCTATTTATGACAAATGTTCATAAACATCTAAGTTATAAATCGCATTTTTTTCAGAATAATGTCCCTTGTTTTACAACTGTAATTTGTCTCGATAAACAAGTATTCCGAGCTTCATGTTGAAAGCCTTGATAGTTTTGAAAACTTTCTATGTAATAATTAAAAAACTTTTGCGTTCATATATTTGATTTCTAATTGTTTGAAAATTGGGCTATATATACATATGTTTTTGCACAACATGATGATGCAGCAACCATAAAAGCGACTTTTTCTTCAAAACAGACAAGATTTCAGACAGACCATAGATTTATGTAATCTGTTCACTGACAGTATATTTAGTATGCGATTGGCAGGTTTAGTAAAATTTAACAATAGCAACTGAGGTTATCACTAATAGCAAAGAGTAAATTGGTGGGTGGTTTTCAGTATACAACATTCACGAGGTTATTTGATATTACTGTTTGGTCTGTTCTTAATTATGGTGCTGCAATCTGGGGTGACCGCTGATTTTCCTGCATAAATGCTATCCAAAATCGAGCAATGAGATATTTTTGGGAAATATACGCCTAATGCAGTGGTTATTGGGGAAATGGGCTGGAAATCATCAACAGTTAAACCGTGGGGTTCTGTAGTCAGGCACTTTTGCAGAATGTCAAAAATGGATAGTGGTAGAATTAACCAAAAAATCTTTGATTGGGCAAGACGGAGTGCTTCTTCCAGATGTAAGAACCAGTATTTTAGAATATGTAAGATGTTTAGAAGAAATGAGATAAATATGAATGATGTGCATGTTTTTAGTGCTAAGAGAATAGTTGAAATGGTCGAGAACAAGTTACATAGTTACGGTCAGTTGAATTAGATAAGTGGAAACAGTCACTATTGAAATAGGAATGATACCAATAGAAATACTAGTGGTAATAAACATAGAACATATAGTTTGTTTAAAGATACTCCGGTTGTTGAAAAATACCTCAAGTACAATTTACCCTTCCATCATAGAAGTTCTTTGACAAAATTCTGTTATGGTGTTGCGCCTATCCGGTTAGAGTCAGGCCTTTATGAGAATCTCTGCATGTAAATGATAGAACATGTTTCAATTGTACCACAAATGTCGGGGATGAGATTCATGTAATTTTACACTGCCCAGTATAATGATATCAGAGAAGATTTGTTGGTGAAAACACGTCAAATTAATAATGTATTTGATACTCTGTCTGACATGGAAAAGTTATGTTATTTACTAAACAACTTTGAAATTGTTAAATATTCTGCCAAAGCCTGCTACCAAATACAACAACTTAGACGTTTAAGGCTGTATATGATAATAGATAATTTTACTTTAACTAATCTAGTCATTAGTTGAATTGTATTTTTTTTAAATTTAATTTTATATGGTTTTTACATGTTTTTTAACAATCCAAATTGTTGTAAAATACATGTATGTAAGTACAACAAGTGTGATAATGGTGCTTTGATAGTTCTTTTATAAAGATATTTTTTATTAATAGGTTAAAATAGGAATATTGCTATTGATACAGAAAAAAGGAATGAAAATTGTACGGAGTTAATGCCTATGTGGTATAATATTGATCTTGCCAATTAAAAAGAATCCTGAAATTTTCAGGTGTACAGACTCCTACAATGTATTGTAATAAAGGAATTTTATTATCATGAATTTTATATCTAACTTTTAAGGGTATTAGCTAAACGATTTTATGAATTAAAAAGTATTAATACACAGGGTTAGCTCAGACAATTATTGTCATAGTATTATAATTAATAGACAAATAGGCACAAATTTGACCTTTTTGGCCATATAATTCATGTTAGATTGTGTCTAAATAATGAATTTTTATTCTTAAAAAGTAGATATTTTAGAGATTATTTTAATAGTTTTACAGTTTCTTATAACTCCTTATGTAGGAGTGGCTTTGTGTTGTGTAAAAAAGTGTGTTTTATTTCTTAGATATATGTAAAGATGCACAAAGAAGAGACTTTAATAAAATATTTGAGTTGAGTTGAGTGTATCATACCCTACCAGCAAACTTTACTTTAAACAACATGAACAAGAGGGTTATTATGGCCCTCAGTCGCTAAATGCTTTTCAGTGTTGGAAATTATCCATTGTCAATATTTTCTAATTTGAGCATAGAATATGTTTAAACAATTATTAGCTTTAATGGCATCTAAAAGGGGCTAATCAAATTAATATGAGCAAACTTGATATAAGACTACCCAAGAATGCTACAGCCCGAGTCCCTATCCAAGTTGTGGTTATCTCTGCAGAAAGTCCCCAAAAATAGTATAATATGGCTTGCAGGTGATTTCAATATGCCCGACATAGACTGGTCTTCTTAGTCCGTCAAGAGCTCATGTAAATTTAAAGACCAATATTAGAACTTCCTTGAAAATATTGTCAGTCTCAACCTTGAGCAAATGGTCAAAATCCCTACAAGAAATAATAACGTCTTAGACCTTTTCCTCACAAACCTACCATCTCTTGTATTCAATGTTAAATTCCTCCCTATTCTAGGTAACTCTGATCATGACATCATTTTCCATGAATTACACATAAATAGGGGCCGTCCCACCCAACCCCAAAGAAAAGTCCATTGATATAAGAAAGCAAACTGGTTAAAAATGAAATCGGAGTTAAACAAATCCCACAAAAAGTTCATGGACTGTAAATATACAGACCCAAACTTGGCCTGGACTGACTTCAAACAAGAACTCCATAGGCTAAGTGACTTGCACATTCCTACTAAAATGACAAAACAAAAACAACATCTCCCCTGGGTTACTCCTGACATACAAAGACAAGTACGTATAAACGGGACAAGTTGTATGCAAAACTTAAAAAAAGAAATGTTGCCCCAAATTCTGAACCCCATTTCAAGACACTTTAAGTCGTCATCCAAAGAAAAATTCGCAACTCGTATTGGAAGTACTTGGAGTCAGTTATATTCAATGAGGATTCCCAACCAGGTCAGAACAAGAAGTTTTACAGCTTTGTTAAACATAAAAAAATCAGATAACTGTGGTGTTGCACCCCTAAACTCATACAAATCCGAAGGATAAAGCAAATATCCTAAATAAACAGTTTGAATCTGTTTTCGCACGACCTCAACCTTTAAGCCTAAAGCAAATATGCAAACATGCATTAAACCCCCCTCCATATTGCATGCCCCATATCACAATAACGGTTGAAGGCGTTGACAAGTTATTATCAGATCTTAATCCTAGTAAAGCACAAGGCCCGGATCAAATAACACCACGGGTCCTTAAAGAACTCCACAGTGAAATAGCACCTATCCTCGCCCACATATTCAGGTTATCTTTAGAAACAGGTATTGTGCCTGATGATTGGAAAAATGCAACAATAGCCCCAGTATACAAAAAGGGTCATTTATAAATCAAAAGCCAGCAATTACAGACCAATATCCCTTACTTGTATCTCCTCTAAATTAATAGAACATATCATAGTCTCAAACTTGATGACCTATTTTGACAAGCACAGTATCCTCAGTCCCTATCAACATGGCTTTCGGTCCAAACGTAGCTGCGAAACTCAACTGCTGAGTTTCTCCCAAGAAGCATTTGACAACCTAGACAGTGGACAACAGACGGATGTGATTGTGATGGATTTTTCAAAGGCCTTCGACAAAGTCGACCATCACAAATTAATCCATAAGCTTAACAGAATAGGAGTTAATGAACAGGTATCCACCTGGGTCAGGTCATTTCTTCGCCACCGTAGCCAAAGGGCTGCGGTGGAAGGTCAAATCTCCGACCAGCTGCCAGTGTTATCCGGTGTCCCTCAGGGTTCATTCCTAGGACCCTGTCTGTTCCTGGCATATATCAATGATTTGCCAGAAACTGTCAAAAGCAAAACCATGTTATTTGCGGATGACACTATAGTCTATTTGACAATTAAAGGACAGACTAGCTGGCGCTGACAGACTACAGGACGATCTACATCAAGGATAGGTTGGCGACAGTCACCTCCTAGTCCCCACACCCAGTATGTTTTTAATCTTGCACTCTTTCTTTTATCCTGCACCTTCTTTATAGGATCTTTATCTTTTAGTATGCACCTAATACTTTTAACACAGTTTTCCTGACAAGCGCCTCCCAGTCATAGTCAGAATTGATTGTTCGGGAGTAACATGTAGATGTAGATGTAGACAAAGTTTGGAGATCATCCATCAATAAGTTCTGTAGAAATAGACGTTTAAAGTTATTTTTATATTAAGCTTACAATTATTAATTGTACCACAGTGTTTTACATAAAACAAGTTTAAGAACTACCACTTATTTGCATTCGATTTCATGAAAACAAAAGTCCTTTTCGCATATTAAAGTCCTTTTCGCATAAAGAATTCTTTTCGTACTTTTGGTTATCCAATATGGCGTCTGGAATTGAAATTGCTCCGCCAGTTAAAAGATTGAAGATTAAAGACGAGAATGATGAAATTTTTATGTCGTTTCATAAAGATAATTTGCAAACTTTAAAATATGCATTAGATGTTTTTAACAATCATCTGTCTTGTTATGGAGTTGGAATCTTAAACATTAAAGTTTGTAATGCCGCAAGTTCCAAATGTTTTTCTAACGCAACTTGCGATTGTGAACAGTTTCGTAAACCCAGTTCTTCTGTACCTAGAGGATTTAAAATACGTGGTATTTTTCAATATGGATTTAAAATGTTGGACGCTTACATCAAATCCCCTGAATGCATACCTCAAAGAAGAGGTGCCAGATTAGCTTTGGCAAAGCTACTGAAGTTTTTGACAGATATAGGTAAGCCCAAAGCCCAATAGATCTAATTAGACCTGATAAAAGGTTTTATTAACATTTCACATTGTGACATTTTACAGTTTCTATCAGGTTCGAAGCGGCTTATTTATTGTTTAAATAAATTAAAAATTATTTAGTAAACAAACAGCAATAAAAAAATCATATATAAGTGGTCAATTGACCTTTTCGAAAACCTAGCTAAACTAGAGTATTTTCGATTTATCTAAAATCTATTAATTACCGATATAATACAGAAATTTTTATTGGTTAATCTATTGGGTCATTCTTTAGGTGTTTGTATTTTTCGGGTCACTGATTTAGTTGTATTCCTACGCGTTGTTATAAATTCAGTCATCTTTTCGCGGTCTTTACAGTTCTTAGACACATCTTGGTTGATTCAGATCTTTTTTCAAATATTTCAAAAAGGAGGCTTTACATGAAGCCATAATTGGTCCATTTAGTGATTGTCCTTTTTCAGATGGAATGGTTATTTCACCTTTGAACTCTGTGCCAAAATCTAATCCTAGTGAACGCCGTATTATTTTGGATTTAAGTTTTCCTAAGAATGGCAATGGAGTAAATAATTTTGTTTCTAAGGATTGGTATTTGGGAGAAAAAGTAGATTTAATATTTCCAAAAATTGATGATTTTGCTGCTTTAATTAAAGCTAAAGGTTCAGGGTGTTTAATGTATAAATTAGATCTTACTCGGGCTTATAGACAAATTAGTATATGCCCGTCCAGTTACAATCTTGTTGGTTTCTCTTGGAATGGTCACATTTTTTTTGACACTGTTCTTTCTATGGGCTTGAGATCTGCTGCTCATATATGCCAAAGGGTAACAAATGCGTTTGCCTTTATGATGTATAATTTTGGTTTCTGTACATTAAATTATTTAGATGATTTTGGTGGTGCTGAGAATAAGGAAGATGCCTTTTTTGCCTTTTCTCTCCTTAGGAGTTTATTGTTTAAAAGTGGTATTGAGGAAGCTTTCGATAAAGCTTGTCCCCCCTCTGAGATTATGGTATTTTTAGGGGTTTTATTTAATAGTCGGAAGATGACTATGGAAGTGACAGAAAAGAGACTTGCGGAAATCAGATTATTGGTAGATATTTGGTTAACAAAAAATACAGCTTCATTAAAAGAAATTCAGAAGTTGTTAGGTAAACTTAATTTCGTTGGAGCATGTGTAAAGTCTAGCAGAGTTTTCATAAACCGTATTTTAAACTGGTTAAGAGATTGTTATGCTAGTAATGAAAGTCACTCTGCTAATCATATGATCCCCCAAGAGGTCAAGAAAGATTTACTTTGGTGGTCTAGATTTCTTCCTTTGTATAATGGCATTTCTTTAATTGACTATGGAGAATGGTCACTAGTGGATGAGGTTTTCAGTTCTGACAGCTGCTTAACCGGTTGCGGTGGCATTTGCGGCAATCAGTATTTTCATTGTGTTTTTCCAGAATTTATTCTTCAGCAAAATTTAAGTATTACTTGCTTAGAAATGTTGGCAGTAGTAGTAGCTGTTAAGTTATGGTGTGTTAGATTGAAGAAAAAGAAAATTGTGGTGTATTGTGACAATCTCAGTGTATGTATATTGTTGAATACAGGGAAATCTAAAGTTGAATTTCTACAAAAATGTCTGCGTGAATTATGTTTGGTAACCTCATTATATGAATTTCAATTAAAAGCAGTTCATATAAGAAGCACTGAAAATCGTGTGTCAGATTGTTTATCTAGGTGGCATTTGGATGAAAAGTATAGGTCAGAATTTTATCAGCAAGTACCGTATACTTCTATGGAAAGTATCACTCTTGATGATACTTTCTTTAAATTTCAATATGATTGGTAATTAATTTGTTTTTTCAGATTCAGAGATTAATACATTGAAAAAGGATCTCAGGCATTCTACAGCTTCTGCATTTGCAGTTGGTTCTAACAAGAATTTGAAAATTCAATGGGAAAGTTTCATTCTTTTTTGCTTGTATTTCAATTTGTGTTTTTTGCCAGCATCTACTTGTACTTTGAGGTTATATGCTCAATTTCTTAGTAGGTCATTTAAGTCGGTAGACAGTATTAGAAATTACATCAGTGGTGTTAAAACTCTTCATCTAATATTGGGTTATGATATAGATCATATAAATTCATATTTGTTGAATTTATCTTTAAGAGGCATCCAAAGACTAAATCCTCATCACATAAAAAGAGCTGAACCTATTACTTTAGATATTTTATTTTCTATTCATAAAGTTTTGGATTTTTCAGTATCTGATAACGTAGTTTATTGGTGTCTCTTTCTTTTTGCCTTTTTCCTAGCTGCCAGAAAATCAAATCTGGTTCCTTCGTCTTCTCTAGATATTTATAAAGGAAGGTTTCTTAATGCCAAACATGTGCATTTTCATGGTAATTATATTCTTGTACATTTCAACTGGTCTAAAACGATTCAATTTGGGGAAAGAAAAATCATTTGTCCACTTGTTAGATTAAAGGACAAAAGGATTTGTCCTGTTTTAGCATATGAGCGTTTAATTAATCTTAATATAGAACAGTGTAATGATGCATTGTTTTCCTTATCACATGATTCTTACATCTCTTATTACATGTTCCAAAAGAAATTGCGTCAATGTATTTCTTTAATAGGTTTAGACCCTAAAAATTTTTCCACTCATTCCTTTAGAAGGGGTTTTGCGACCTTAGCCTTTAAATCTGACATTCCACCTGAACATATACAACTAATTGGTGATTGGAAGTCAGACGCTTATAAGCTTTATCTTGAATTAGATTGGTCTGATAAAGTTAATATTCTATGTAAAATGTTTGATACCTTGGATGGTTAAGGTTATGTACATGTACAATAGAATTCATAGTGTCTCTTTACTTTACTCTTGCAGATATCACGGTCTACATCTTGTCAGATTCAATAGCTAAGAATATAGAGGGAATTAATCGTGCTGAAGTGATTCCTTTTCCGGGGATTAATTTGTGCAGATTAACGGCAAAAATTGACAAATTTCATGCTCTGGTGTCTAAACCTGTTACTATTATTCATGTAGGTACTAATGATATCCAATTTTATTCAGCTGATGAAATCATTAGTTTGTTTTGTAATTTAATTGCCAGAATTAGAAAGGTTTCTCAAACACATTTGATTTTTTCGAGTATCCTTCCTAGACCTTGTGATTATGATATTTCCCATTGTAAAGTCAAGGAGGTCAATAAGGGTTTACAGGAGCTTTGCAAACGCAAAAAATGTCAATTTGTAGCTTCCTACAGACCTTTTTATAGGTTTGGTCTCCCTAGGCGAGAATTATTTGCAGTTAGGGATAAAGGTTTACATCTTAATTCTGAAGGAGATGCTGTGCTCAAATCTGTTTTTATTAATACAGTGTCTCATGTTCTCAAGGGTAAATTTGCTATGTAATATATTTATTTTTCATAGTAGGATGTTATTTTGTGATTGGTCTTCACGGAAATATAGTTTGAGTTTGTAGAATATTATATATTTACAAATGTGTTCTAGAATATGTTTCCTTTGTAAATTGTGTTGGTGACAACCTTTTGAAATAGTAATCATATTTCATGGGTTTTAGTACTGTGTAACAGTAGTCATGTTACCTGTATGGCTTGATTTCTTGAGAAGGAATTAACTTCTCAGAGTCTCGAGAACCTGTGGTAAGGACCTGGAAGGGTGACTTTACTCTGGTTTTCTCTTTGTGCTATAATTTGTATTCAATTGCTTTTGTATAATGTACATATGTATATTGTGTTAACTTAATTTATATATTTGCTTAATTTATATGTTGAATTCTTAATATATCCACATGTATATATGTTTACCATTTTCTTTCATTAGGTATACAGAATTTTGATGACTTTGTATGTAAGTTTGTAAATCATTTTGTTTTGTTTGCTTTGCTTTTGCTTTATTTTTGGCCTGGGTTGGGCGATTTTTGATCTGTGTTCATTTAATTCTATATTTTCATTGGTCTGAAATTAGTCATAATTATATCTGTTCAAGTTGATGATTTGTCTTACCTTTAGACTGATTGCATAGTATATTTCATTGTTTATTCAGACATCACTTTAGTGTTCATTTGATATATATTATATATGTGTGTGTCTAAGCTCTGATTAAATCTATATCTATTTCATCTGTGTTTTTTTCTGTGTTTGAGATAATTACCGTTTTCCGGTACGTTACGGCACGGATTTATATTACAAGGATCGGACACTATCGTTTAGCTTAAAATCTTGTCGCGCGCATGCGCGGAATCGCATATCGGATAAAGGTGGACAGAATGAGAGATGGCGGAACGCGCGGAGTGCGAAATATGACAGATTTTCACAAGAGTATGTGGTGATAATGTTATGGCAGCTTTGTGAAATATTTTACACATATTAATGTATTGACACAGTATTATTTTGTGTCGCTAAAGTATTAATATATGAAAATATTCCGATAGAACGCTGAGTCAAAATAGTACCTAATTTAAAAAATATCCGCCTATTGTTTAGGCATACTCTCTACACTTTGACGCCCTTTTACTTCAAGCACAAATTATTACCGCGATTCAGATTAAGATAATTATTTTCTACATGGTTTAATGGTTGCAATGCAAAATTTTTTTCTTGATTGCTTAAAAACTTTTAAAGAAATTCATGTTTGAAATTTGTCTTTTTTTTCTGTGAATTATTTCCAAATGATTTGAGCATCTTTTATTTGATTACCTGAATATTAGTATAAATGTAGTATTCTACTAATTAGTGTATTAAATATATTTTCAGATCATTGACAAAAGCGTTCATACATAGATGAATTCATCATATTGGCAAGGAAGAAACTTTTATTGGCATACAGAACAGCTGTTTTATAATATTATTTTTTATGTTGACACAGAATTTTTTCATAGTTATCCTTCACAATTCCCGTCAAATGATTTATTTGTCATATGTTTATTTTCATTTTTTCAACGAAAGGACTTGTATATTTTCAATTTCATTTATAAATGTTAATAAAGAAAATAGATTTACATTGTATTTATATCTATCATCTTCAGAATTATTTTCTTATTACACATACAATGGACTGTAGTTTAAGACCGCGCACATACAAAATATACATTCAAATTCTATTTGTTTTTGAAGATTGATTGTTGCAATTATCACATGCAACCTGGTAATGAAAGTTTGAAAATAAAGTTTTTCAATTATCACTTGTTACCTGGTAATTAACCCCCTTCAAAAGTAATTAAACTTCAAAGAAATTTAAGCGATGTCACGGATTTATATTACAATATAAATCCGTGGCGATGTGTAAAAAATAATCAACAGTTACTTTTATTTCGCATAATACTGACTCAAACTGTAAAGATTTTTATTGTTTTTCTAGTGTTACATTAAAAAATATCAGAAATATCTTTCTACAGGCATATTCAAATAAAAAGAATAATTAAAATATACGAGTGACATTAAAAAGGCCGGAATCGAGACAGTCACATGAGAGTAGGGCCTACTTTACTGATGATTGTCTACTTAACTGCACCGACAGATAATAATGATATAAATTATGAATGAAATTTAAATATTGTATGAATATGGCAATATTAAAATCTCGGCAATATTTTGTACTAAAAAAATGAATATTTTCTTCACGTGTTGAGCGAATTGTAAAGCCCGCAATACATTACCCGTAAAACAATTGTGCATTAATAAATTTGACTACATAACCCAATAAATCTTAAATATTGCATCTTTGATCATCTGTGAATAACTTACATCGGCTTCTTTTTTATTTTGAAATTGAATTTATGTGTCCATAATAATTAATTTCAAATACCTGCTTTTTATATAAAAAAAAGTAAATTTACCGCGGATTTCGTCAAGTTATTTTTTTAATCGCCGTTGCGGACAAATAAACTATACCTTTAAAATATGAATTAGATATTTGAATTAAACAAGTATTTTTCTTCAAAATAAATTTTAAATTTCCAAAATCGGATAATAAATGGAAAAGCTATATGGTATTTTGTAAAGTAGGTTATCCGTTGCGAACGGGCATTTACGCTTAGCGCTGGTAGATTATCGATCGATGTACCTTTATCGGGTGCACGACAAGATACTTAAGCATTTATATAGAGTTAAATGGGAGTGTCCGATCCCTGTAATATAAATCCGTGGTTACGGATTTAGCTCTGGGGAATTACACCAAATGAAGTGCATAACACAGTTACATGATATTTCTATATTTCTATCATTATTTTACCGTTTAAGGTGAAAAAATTGATGTTTTTGAAAATTATCAATATTCCTTTAATATCTATTGCAAATTTTTCAAAAAAATAAATTGTTGATAATGAAAATCAATAAAATTTAAACAGACGTAGTTGAATCTTCCATAATAAATAAGGTTATTTTCTGCGTAAACTTGTGTATTTACTTTATTTTTTGTTTGGAATTATTCATACAATGATATTTAATTATTTTCTTATAAAGAAATAACTGTTTTATTTCAATTTAATTTTAAAAAAGGCCGAAAACATCGAGTTCGCTATTACACTCCATAAGGTGAATTCCCCACAGCTATGTACAGAAAGTACCGGAAAACGGCGTTTAGCTAGGTTTTCGAATTTGTGAATTGTCTTACCTATTTTGGGGGTGAACTCAGTCTTGGGGATGAATTGTCTTGTTTTTTCGGGGGATGAATTGTCTTGTTTTTTCAGGGGGATGAATTGTCTGTGGGAATATGTTGTCTTGTTACCTCTATGAGGTATTTTTTCGATGTCTAAATGGGTAGTATCAATTAGATTTCTAAAAAATGAATACATGTAAATTTCGTCATCCAAGTATACTCAGACTCCATGATACCTGTGGCTGCATGGTACCGGTGTATCAATTATTCTCATGAGATATCACTTTCAGTGCCACCTGCAGATTGTTTACATTTTTACAAAGTATTTTCATTGTCTTTCAACCATACTGGTTGGGAACCACCAAAACCGGACAACCACCAAATCCGGACGGCCCCAAAAATGCTTAATTTAGTATTTTCTTTGTTCAGTGGTTGTCAGTCACTTTTTATCAACAATAAATGCATGTTTCTTCTAAAATTAAGTAAGTAAATTTATTTCAACCTCCGTAAATGGTAATATTATAATGTCTATTTCAAGAATGTTGATGTAGAAATTTGGGGGTCAAGAAAACAATGCCTGACCTCATATACCAGCTATTATAATTTGCAGAGTAAACAATAGAATATCCAAAACTTCAGCATTTGTTGCAGAAATATTGTATATCATGTTAAAAATCAAAAATTAAAACACCCAAGCTTTTATCTGAATTAAATCCCATCATGTTCTTATCTGTCCGGACACATGGTACTGTAGTGTTGACAATTTAGGTAAATTTTATACCCTCTTTGTCGAGCCTCAGATAGAAGTGTCAATACAATCAGAAATAATCAAACTAGTTTGTTAGTTAGGAGAAGAACCTAGCTGTTCAAAACTGTGTCAAATTTTTAGGTCTCTAGGTTAAAAATTATGAAATCTGTACGGAAAAATGTTAGAAAAGTGTCCGGTTGATTGTCCCCGACTAGTATCAGTCTGCGAAATAACTTTTTTAGATCATAGGCCATTTGGGCCTTCAGCCCAGGCAGAAGTATAGGCCTGGACAGAATATCACAGGCCCAAAACATTTATTGTGCAAAAAAGACAACAGTTTATTTTATTTTTTATTCAAATCATTAAGATTCAATTTATTCACAGAAAATCAGTCAGCAACTTTCCAATAAAATTCTCATTTTCTGTTCTTATATATACTCAACATTACTGTTAATCTACCAGTTTCACTTCAGATGTTAAAATTAGCCGATTCATGTTTGTTGTTCACAAATCTAAAAATAAATTTATTCTTCTATAATATTTCTTTAACCCGCAAACATTTATGATTATACTCGAGCATTGTCCTTAAATTTACACTTAAACCAATAATTGTAGATAATAATATAGATTATGCATAAATGATTGACATACATGCATTACAAAAGTACATATACTGATGAAGTACTACACAATTACTCGGAAAAAATATTTAAACTAATTTTATATGAAAACACATTCTGAAGTCAAAGGCCCGTCGGGCTTACAATTTTTGAATTTTTGCAGGCCTGTATTGGATTTTAGCAGCCTCGGGCATTGGGCCTGTACCTTATTTCCAAGACTGCCACATCAAAAAACATTTTTCCGTGACATAGAACTTTCAGGTCATGAAAAAAGAACGATAATTGCAGCATACCTCAAACTTTAAGGTACCTGCTTAAGTAAAATTCAATTTTCAAAAGACAAATGCATTAGTGTTAATAATTCTTATGCACCAAATTATTGTACAAAATCTAAATTAATTATGGAGCAACATTTTAACAGACATGAAATTTTTATCCTTAAAGTATTGATTACATCACTTCCTTAAAATATAATCATAATGTTCACTTCTCGAGTTCTTTGTGTTTGCACCGGTATCATGGAGTTGTTTTAAAATATGTCCACTTATTGTTGACATTCAGAAATGCATGGGAATTTCTAATTATGGAACCTATTCTTGAACTTACATGTGTATTTAAGATAAGTTCTTAGAAAAGAACATTTACGATTTACATTTTTTATGGCTTTTAATGGCATTAAAATTTTGCTCTTTTTTTTCTTAGAGTTGACAGGGAAAACACTTTCTCAAGGCAGAGAAGATATCAGTGAAACTGAGTGGACTGTAAGAGTGGCACATCATTTGTTTTCAAAGCTTGCTGTTGGTTCAAATTATACATTAGACAATATTAGCAAAGGAAGGATTAAAGATGCATATTGTAATTGTGGCTGCAAGGAAAGATTATTGGGGGATTACGGGGACACTTCTATGGGTAAATAGTATTCATAATGTTGTACAGTGAATCTGTAAAAACATCTTTGGTTGAACAAGATACTTACTTCTGATTTCATGATTAAAATTATAATATTGACAGGGATATGTACTCAGTTCTAACATAATTACCGTCCCTTTATACATGTTTAAATCAAATCTGTCTATTAATCGCAAAGTTATTGCAATTTTAGCAATATTCAAGGTCAAAACAAGGTCAAGGTCACAGCTGAAGGATTCAAAATGTTGGTTTTGTCATAAATGCTGGTTTGTCCAAGCGTAAATTAAATCTGTCTATAAATAACAAAATAATGCCAATTTTAACAAAATTCAATAATTTGACCTTGATGGTCAAGGTCATATTAAGGTCACGCTCATAGCTGAAGTATTTAAAATGTTGGTTTTGCCATTTATAAGCTTTATTTTGCCCGGGTACACATCAAAACGGTCCATACAGTAATTAACAAAATTATGACAATTTTGACGATCAAGGTCATCATTAAGGTCTCGCTCATAGCTGAAGTATTCAAAATGTTGGTTTTACCATAAGCATTATTTTGCCCAAGTACAAATCAAATCGGTCTATACAGTAATTAACAAAATAATGACAATTGTAGGAAAATTCAATAGCTTGACCCTGATGGTCAAGGTCATATAAAGGTCAACATCAAATTTAATTTGATCACCATGGAGGTATTGTCCCAAGTGCTGTTTTATCCAAGTATGAACATAATCCAAGTTATAGCCATATATAACAAAATTCAAGGATAATTCAATAATTTGACCTTGAAACTCAAGGCCAACTATGAGCCAATGTCAAGTTCAGTCTGGTTTACTTGGAAGGTTTTGTCCAAATGGTTATTGTGTCCAAGTTAAATGACAATCCAGTCATTAATAACAAAGTTATAGCTTAAATTATAGAAAAATTCAGTAGTTTGACCTTTAACGTCAAGGCCATTTATGAGTCAAGGTCAAGTTTAGTCGGGTCTACTTGAAGATCTTGTCCAAAGCAGGGCTGTCGCTAGGCTCAGAATTTTGGGCGGAGTCACTACTCCCTAAGTCCATGATCAGGGCGAAATGGGAAAACTTCAGAGAGAAGTGAATATTTTTATTGTGTCTTCACGTTTTGGCAATCAAATATATGTATACATGTACTGGAGAATTACTCGGCGACTGTTTTTCTTTGAAAACTTTCGGGAATAATGTTTAAATTTCACAAATATAGTCTCATTAAATCAATATAATACCTTCTCAGTTTAATTGCCGGTAGTCATCAAAGGGCACATGGTTTCAAACACAACTTTTATTACCATTACGGCATCAATTATTATTCAATTAGCGTTAATTTATAAACACTGAAAAATACAGTATAATACCATACAGGAAACTCATTATTTATTCACAATTCAATGACTCTTGTTCGTAAAACTAAACGCTATTGGTTAATTTTACCGAAGTGCCAGTATCAACTGTCTAAATGAAAAGATATAAATTGCATGGGGGTCTTCATTCTACCTACAGGGATTTCCCGGAAAGAAGTACTAATAGGTGGTGTTTCACTTCAAAATGGGGGGGGGGCTATAATGGATTCGCTTTGTCGCATCGGTCGTTCAGTCTGTCCGTCCGTTTCCATTATCGTGTACGCTCTATAAATTCTATACCAATTGAAGGATTTTCTACAAACTTGGCTCAGTTGTTCACCTCAACAAGGGGATGTGCAGAACCCATGTTGCCCAAGTGTCAGCTCAAGGTCAAGGTCACAATTGAAGGTCAAATATCAAACAATCAAATATTAAACAGTAAGTCGTGTCCGCTCTGTAAGTCCTACACTAATTGAAATATTTTCTTCAAACTTGGCTCAAATGTTCACCTTAACAAGGGGATGTGCAGAACCCATGTTGCCAATGTGTCAGCTCAAGGTCAAGGTCACAATTGAAGGTCAAATATCAAACAATCAAATATTAGACTGTATGTTGTGTCCGCTCTGTAAGTCCTACACTAATTGAAAGATTTTCTTCAATTCAATCTTGGCTCAAATGTTCACCTCAACAAGGTTATGTGCAGTACCCATGTTGCCCTTTTGCCGGCTTAAGGTCAAGGTCACAATTGAAGGTCAAAAATTGACTTAGAAAATATTCTTAAATTTTAACATGTATTTGAATATTTCTGAAACTAGAAAATTAATTTGCTTGTAACTTAAAATATATATGAAGTGTCACAATTAAGATATGCAGGTCAAGTTTCATAACTCTGTATTGCATTTTGACAAAGTAATGCCTCTTTTTAAGTCGTCAAATTTACATACAATCAAATATTAGACAATATGTTGTGTCCGCTCTATAAATCCTATACTTATGGAAGAATTTTCTTCAAACTTTACTCAAATGTTCACCTCAAGAAGGTTATGTGCAGAACCCATCTTACCCTTGTGCCAGCTTAAGGTCAAGGATACACTTGAAGGTCAAAAATTGACTTAGAAAATGTTCTGAAATTTTAACATGTACTTGAATATTTTTAAAACTAGAACAGATAATCATTTGAAACTTCAAATATACATGTATATACGAAGTGTGGCAAGTAAGATATGCAGGTCAAGTTTCATAACTAAAAAAAGTGAGGGGGATTGAATTTTCCTATATGCATATAGTAAAAACTTTGAAAATCTTCTTTTAAAGAACTCAAAGAGCTAGAGATGAAACCTGTTCTAGTGGGTGTCTACCAAGTTTGTTCAAATAAAAGCCCTGGGGTCAAAATTGGCCCCGCCCCGGGGGTCATTGATTTTCCTTATATGTGTATAGCAAAAACTTAAAAAATCTTCTTTTAAAGAACTCAAAGAGCTAGAGCTAAGATATTTAGCATGAAACATGTTATAATGGGTGTCTTCCAAGTTTGTTCAAATAAAAGCCCTGGGGTCAAAATTGGCCACGCCCCGGGGGTCATTGATTTTCCTTATATGTGTTTAGCAAAAACTTAAAAAATCTTCTTTGAAAAATCCCAAATAACTAGAGTTTAGATATTAAGCATGAAATATCTTCCAGTGAGTGTCTACAAACTTTGTTCAAATAAAAGCCCTGGGGTCAAAATTGGCCCCGCCCCGGGGGGTCATTGATTTTCCTTATATGTGGATAGCAAAAACTTAAAAAATCTTCTTTTAAAAAACCCAAATAGCTAGAGTTTAGATGTTAAGCATGAAACATCTTCTAGTGAGTGTCTACAAAGTTTGTTAAAATAAATGCCCTGGGGTCAAAACTGGCCCCGCCCCAGGGGTGTCATTGTTTTTAACTATATGTGTATTAAGTAATAACTTAAAAAATCTTCTTCGAAAAAACCCATTGAGCCAGAGCTTAGATGTTTAGCATGAAACATCTTATTGGTGTCTACCAAGTTTGTTCAAATAAAAGCCCTTGTGTTAAAATTGGCCCTCGAGGGGGGGGGGGCGGAGGCCTATATACAGGTGAGCGACCTCAGGGCCATCATGGCCCTCTTGTTCAGTCTTGTATATTTAAATGTCCATTTAAACTTTGAAAATAGACTTTTTTTACTCCTGTTTTGTGAGGGCTTTTTGTTGGTTAAAGGTTTTATTTATTTATCAGGTGTTCCATCATACTGGCATGGACGACTTGACATTCTGATGGATGTTGCTGTGACAGTAGCTACTGAAGAGCCAGACTCACCAGGTGCAGGAAATTGTTCTTCTAGCGAAATGACATCTGATAGGATGATTGCATGCAAAGAACAAATAAGGGCTGAAGCAATAGTGTTTTCTTTTTTGCAAAAGAAAAATCATCCTGAGCTGAACAATTTCCTTATTCCAACTATTGCAATGTCTAAATCTCAGATGGCAGTTTGTTTATATGACTGTGAGAATGATATATTCCTTGAAACTCCACGTCTTGATCTCTTTGTAGAAGATAAATTTTTAAAGATAGAAACAATAATCACTCTCTGGTCAGTTTTGAATTTTAAATATTGCTGTTCAGGAGTTCCAGAAGAGATCATTGAATTTGGTTTTACAGCAGATTTCTTCAAGCACGCTGGTCCTCATCTGGAAAAGTATATTGCGAATGTAAAAGCTCCTTGTTGTTATCAGACTGAAAACACATGGTCTGCAGTACTTGTTTTAGAAGATGTTAAAGAGAAAACAGATGATGTTAACAACATATATCAGCCTTCATAGATAATATGAAATTGCTGGAAAGTGCCAGACTGAGCTGTTGTGATAACTTGAACTGTTATGAGAACTAGACACAGTTGTAGAGGATGTGAAGGGATTGTGCCATTCACAAGAACCATAACTAAATTTTCATATCTTGTTATTTGTTTAAATTTCACACAATGATGGAGGATGATGTGGGGGGAGTGCAGTGCACAGGAACCATAACTCCATCTTGCTTTGTTTTTGAATTATCTCCTTTGATTCGTTTTTTGTCTATTGCACACCTTTAACAGCACAACTTAAACAGCTATGAAGTGAATGTGTTCAAACTTTATACAGTGGTAGAAAGTATTTATTTGGTGGGTAGTAATTATAAGAACTGTTAACTGAAGTATTGATTACATGTCATTTATAGGCCATTGATGGTAATTTTCATTCTTGTCTGGGTAAAAGAATACATCGTGAAGCATTATTTGGCTTTACCAATTTCTTGTGCTTTCTGTTCGTTTTTATATGCCTGAAAGAATTTCGGGCATATTATGTTATACCCCCTGGCGTCTGTCCGTCCGTCTGTCCACACTCACAGGACAGTGATTATGTGGCTAGAGGGACAATAGGTAACTGTTCTTTCTCTTTGATGTCATTCATTCCTTAATGCTTTTATGTGGCTATTTTCTTTTGTGTGGCTAAAAAGAACAATAGAGAGAACAATAGAGTAGCCACATTATTACTCTCCTGTTAGAACGTCCGTCCGTCCGTTAGTAATTTGGTTTCCGGAGCATAACTTAAGTTCAATTTGGCCAACAATATTCAAACTTCATAGGATGATTGTCCATATTGGCTAGAAGACCCCTATTGATATTGGGGTCACAAGGTCAAAGGTCAAGGTCACTATGGCCTTAAAACTGAAAACAGTTTCCAGAGCATAACTTAAGTTCCGTTTAGCCCACAGTATTCAAACTTCATAGGATGATGGTCCATATTGGGTAGAAGACCCCTATTGATTTTGGGTTACAAGGTCAAGGTCATTATTACATTAAAACTGAAAACAGTTTCCAGAGCATAACTTAAATTTCATGTGGCCCACAACATTCAAACTTCATAGGATGATTGTCCATATTGGGTAAAAGACCCCTATTGATTTTTGGATCACAAGGTCAAAGGTCAAGGTCACTATTACCTTAAAACTGAAAACAGTTTCTGGAACATTACTTAAGTTCCGTTTGGCCCACAGTGTTTAATCTTCATAGGATGATTGTCCATATTGGGTAGAAGACCCCTATTGATTTTGGGGTCACAAGGTCAAACGTCAAGGTCACTATAACCTTAAAACAGTTTCCGGAGCATAACTGAAATTCCATGTGGCCAACAATATTCAAACTTCATAGGATGATTGTCCATATTGGGTAGAAGACCCCTATTAATTTTGGGGTTGGTCAAGGTCACTATTACCTTAAAACTGAAAACAGTTTCGGGAACATAACTTAAGTTCCGTTTAGCCCACAGTGTTCAATCTTCATAGGATGATTGTCCATATTGGGTAGAAGACCCCTATTGATTTTGGGGTCACAAAGTCAAAGGTCAAGTTCACTAATATCTTAAAACTGAAAACAGTTTCCGGAGCATAACTTATGGTCTATTTGGCCCACAATATTCAAACTTCATGGGATGATTGTCCATATTGGGTAGAAGACCCCTACTGATTTTGGGGTCACAAGGTTAAAGGTAAAGGTCATTATTACTTTATAACTGAAAACAGTTTCTGGAGCATAACTTAAGGTCTATTTGGCCCACAATATTCAAACTTCATAGGATGATTGTCCATATTGAGTATTGTCCATATTGGGTAGAAGACCCCTATTTATTTTGGGGTCACAAGATCAAAAGTCAAGGTCACTATTACTTTAAAACTGAAAACAGTTTCCAGAACATAACTTAATTTCTATTTGGCCCATAGTGTTCACACTTCATAGGATGATTGTCCATATTGGGTAGAATACCCCTATTGATTTTGGGGTCACAAGGTCAAAGTTCAAGGTCGCTATTACCTCAAAACTAAAAACAGTTTCCAGAGCATAACTTAAGTTCCATTTGGCCCACAATATTTAAACTATAGGAGGATTGCTATTTGAAGGAGGTAATACTTTATTTAATTTATGTAATGTCTAACAAATGCTTCATCCTTACTTAAAAAAAAACACTTTCGGGCATATAATGCTCCGCCTAGGGGTGCTCTTGTTTTTAGCTCACCTGTCACACAGTGACAGGGTAAGCTTTTGTGATCGATTTTCGTCCGGCGTCCGTCCGTTCGGCGTCCGGCCGTCTGTAAACTTTTACTTTAAATGACATCTCCTCATAAACCACTAAGCCAATTTCATCCAAACTTCATAGGAATGTTCCTTTGGTGGTCACCTTTAAAAATTGTTCAAAAAATTTAATTCCATGCAGAACTCTGGTTATCATGGCAACCGAAAGAAAAAACTTTAAATATCTTCTTTTTAAAAACCCAAAGAGCTAGAGCTTAGATATTTGGCATGAAACATCATCTAGTGAGTGTCTACCAAGTTTTTTCAAATAAAAGCCCTGGGGTCAAAATTGGCCCCATCCCAGGGGGTCATCGATTTTCCCTATATGCTTATAGTAAAAACTTAAAAAATCTTCTTTTAAAGAACCCAAAGAGCTAGAGCTAAGATATTTAGCATGAAAGATCTTCTAATGCGTGTCTAATAAGTTTGTTCAAATAAAAGCCCTGGGGTCAAAATTGGCCCCGCCCCAGGGGGTCATTGATTTTCCCTATATGCATATATTAAAAACTTAAAAATCTTCTTTTAAAGAACCCAAAGAGCTAGAGCTAAGATATTAAGCATGAAACATGTTCTAATGGGTGTCTACAAAGTTTGTTCAAATAAAAGCCCTGGGGTCAAAATTGGCCCAGCCCCTTGGGTCATTGATTTTCCTTATATGTGTATGGCAAAAACTTAAAAATCTTCTTTGAACAAACCCAAATAGCTAGAGTTTAGATATTACGCATGAAACATCTTCTAGTAAGTGTCTACAAAGTTTGTTCAAATAAAAGCCCTGGGGTCAAAACTGGCCCCGCCCCAGAGGTGTCATTGTTTTTAATTATATGTGTATAGTAAAAACTTAAAAATCTTCTTTTAAAAAACCCAATGAGCTAGTGGTAAGATGTTTAACATGGAACATATTCTTGTTGGTGTCTACCAAGTTTGTTCAAATAAAAGCCCTTTGGTTAAAATTTAAAAATTGGCCCTGCCGGGGGGATGGAAGAATGCAGAGGTCATTGTTTTTCATTATATGTGTGTAGTAAAAACTTAACATCATAAACCATCTTCTAATGGGTGTCTACAAAGTTTGTTCAAATAAAAGCCCTGGGGTCAAAATTGGCCCCGCCCCGAGGGTCATTGATTTTCCTTATATGTGTATGGCAAAAACTTAAAAATCTTCTTTGAAAAAACCCAAATAGCTAGAGTTTAGATATTAAGCATGAAACATCTTCTAGTAAGTGTCTACAAAGTTTGTTCAAATAAAAGCCCTGGGTTCAAAACTGGCCCCGCCCCAGAGGTGTCATTGTTTTTAATTATATGTGTATAGTAAAAACTTTAAAAAATCTTCTTTTAAAAAACCCAATGAGCTAGAGGTAAGATGTTTAACATGAAACATCTTCTTGTGGGTGTCTACCAAGTTTGTTCAAATAAAAGCCCTTGGGTTAAAATTGGCCCTGTCTGGTGGGGGGTGCAGAGGTCATTGTTTAACATTATATGTGTGTAGTAAAAACTTAACATCATGAAACATCTTCTAATGGGTGTCTTCCAAGTTTGTTCAAATAAAAGCCCTGGGGTTTAAACTGGCCCCGCTCCGGGAGCCTATATACAGGTGAGCGACCTCAGGGCCATCATGGCCCTCTTGTTTTAATGTTGTAAAATGATAATGTTCTCCCTGATTAAAAACAAATTTAACTTGTTCAACTTGAGGGAATGAGGGAATTTTAGCGCTATGCAAACAGACTCGCGTTATAACCATCTATATAATAATACTGGTCATATCATTTTAATAGAATTCTCAAAAACATTTTTAAAGCTGTTTGATATATAATACAAGGTGCTTCTTAAAAAATAAATTTAGAAAAAAAAGGATATTTTGCTTTTTCTTTTTTCCTGGAATGTTTAATATTTTGTGAAAGGTGTAATTCTGTTGCATAGGTTTATATACATTGAATTTAATTTACACAACTTATCAAATCATAAAATTTAATGTAAAATAACCTTTTGATGACTTCAATAGAAGATAATGTTGTATTGTTTCAAATTTAAGACATTGTGATATAGGGGTAGATAATACACAGAATGTGTATTTTTAGTGCCTGAATTGATTATTGAGTGAGTGATGAAACCGCTGTGTGCTTGATCGTTCAGGTTTCATAACCAAACTGTTTTGTTTTTCTCATTAATGTCAAACACCTATAAGATGACCTTCACATAAAGATTTATTTAAAGCCAAATGACTGCTTCTTGGGTGTCTTGACCAGTAATTTCTCCAGTGTGTATTGTGGAAGTCAAAAGATAATCTTAACACCCAAACTACAACCTTTAGATTAAGAGCCCTGTGGTATACCTCTACACCACTAGTCTACATGGTTCTGAAAATCTTACTTCTGTACCTCGGCGTGTATTTATCATGCATGTTGTATGTGTTTACCTCGGGCATTACTGCTGTGTTGGGAACAGACTAAACAGAGTAACACTGTCTTTACAAACTATACAGATCTGAAATTAAATTAGATACCTGAGCTTCTAATATATATATACATGCTATATTTCAAGTTTCTGCAGTTAGAATCGTCTTTAAAATAATTGGGAAAAATTGTGGTGTTCCTTTATATATGTATTTGAGAGAAAACCTGTGATATATAAATGCATATTCCGATTATGAAATTTGCTTTTGAATTTAAAATGAATGAGGGACAATCTGAATAGTTTAAAAAAGGAAGTGCGAAACAGCCTCTTTTCATATTTTATTGCACATGTATGGAGCAGTATAAAAGATCAATGCACTGTAAAAAACGTAACGGTCATTTATTTTCAAATGTGCCAGGAAAATGGCTGAATGGATGTTGATATTATTTCTAAATGTGTCGTAATCTTGTGTTTTAAGTGACTTTCCATAGACTTCCCATGGCTTTCCATAGCAACAAGTTAACCACCTTAGCAACCAATGACTTCAATAGCGACCATTGACTTTCCCTAGCAACCAATGACTTCCATAGCAACCAGTGGTAATGTAACGATTCGCCACACTAACGATTCGACACAGAGTATAAACGATTCGCCACAGTTAAATATCGATTCGCCACGTGTTCAAATACGAACTTTTTCACACCTGTTTACAAACTGTTGATGGAAAACATTTTTCTATTCTATATTTCATTTGTAAATTACATAAATTAATTATACTAAAAACAGCTTTTATTGAATAGAAACACATGAAACCAAATATTTTTCACCAAAATTACATAAGCTAAACTTCGTTATTTATATAAACTGGAAAATTATACGAAAAACAGCTTTTATTGAATAAAGACACATGATAATAAACATATTTTATTACAAAATATACATACACAGTGTAAATATTTTTACATTTTTTAAAACTTTAACCTGGAAAAGAATACTAATTAAATCAGCTGTTATTGAATAGAAACACATAAAAAAATATTTTATTACCAAAATAACAAAAACGTTGTTATTTCTATGGCCAGAAAATAATAATACAAAAATAGGTTTTTTTATAATATCTTTTTTTATTATTATTATCTCAACATTTTTTATTTCCAAAATAACATAACACATTATTCACAAAACAAAAAATACATGTAGTAGTATCCAATTGTGAGGGAACTCCTATGCACATTTGTTCACATTGTCAGAGAATTAAAGGATTATTTCGGTGTCAATTAAATATTTCTACAACAATCCTAGATAATTGTTAAAATTTAAAGTGTGACAAATGTTTTAGATATGCGTTCTTTAATCAATTTTCGTAATGAACACATGTTTTTGCAATACCCATTTTTTATAAATATTTGACATATATATATAATATATATAAATATATATATAAATATAGTGACTCTTCATAGAGACCATGGACTACCGTTGCAACCACCGACTCCCCACAGCAACCACAGTCTCGCATAGCAAGCAGTGACTTCCCATGGCCGCCATAGACTTCTTAAGCACCCAGTGACTGTCCGTGACTATCAGCGACTTCATAAATTTTTGTTGTAATTTGGAAATGACACCTACAAAAACATTTGATAAAAATCAGCAGACGAACAGAGAAAAGAAAATTTCACGATCATTTGTGTTAAAGTGGCATAAAAAATATGTGATGGACATTATTTGAGAAGCAGTAATCGTCATTGACTGCGTAACGTTGAAGCACAAGTTGTACGTTATCTTAATACACTTGTTACTACAGTCAAACTTGTATTAAGCGACCACGCAAGGGAAACACCCAAAATGGTCGCTTAATGAAACGGTCTCTTAAGACAAAGCATGATATAAAAGTCAAAATTCACAAATGACATCTTTCTTATGCGATGGGAATGTTTAACAACTCCATTTTTATATAAATGTTGAATAATAAGTACGCTCGATAATCTGTAAAAATAACTTTCTGTTATTTATTGACAAACAGTAAACATCTCTGCACAGAACAGTAGATCTAGAAGAGTAGACAAGAATTTCAACGAAACAACTTTGTTTTTGTGTTTTAAAAAAAATGCTACTCTTAGATCTACCAAGTGTATTAAAGACATTAATACACGTCAGAGTAGGGCCGGAAGGTGATAATCGGCCCTGAATGAATAATGGCCCTCGGGCTAAAGCCCTCGGGTCCATTATTCATTTTACGGGCCGATTATCACCTTCCGGCCCTCTCCTGCCGTGTATTAACCTCTTAATGTTGACGCCAATAACGTTTCAAATGGAGTGCGCAGCTGTCGCCGACATGTGTTTATTTAAAATTAAATATTGTTGTATTGTAAGAAGCTACTCGCATTAATATTTCTGTGTTTATTTGTTATTAAGTCTTCTTAGCAGTGTAAAAAATTCAAATTAATATCTCAAATATATTTTACGCAACAAAGAAAAAATCCACGATTTTTTTGGATAACCCCTCGTACGCTTACGTATTAATATGGACGTAACAGCGAAAAAGGGCCGAGCGCGCCGAGTTCTCACGGACGTGTTACTTTGGCTAGGGCTTGGAGACTTACATTTCTATATAGGTGACCCTTCAGGCTTGTACAAAATCGAATCCGCAACGAAACCGAACGGATGGTGTCTAAGCAGTGGACACAGGCGCATTGTGTTTTTTCAGGTACAATAATATAATAAATATGACGGAACAAAGAAAATTGAGCCGTGCGCGCAGTTCTCACGGACGTGTTACTTGGGCTAGGGCTTGGAGACCTACATTTAATTAAAGGTGACACATCAAACTTGTACGAAATCGAATCCGCGACGGAATCGGACGGATGGTATCTAAGCAGTGGACTCAGGCGCCATGTGTTCTTTTTTTACGTACATTTACATATGTATAAGAACGTAACAACCAAAAATGGGCCGCGTGCGCAGTTTTCGCAGACATTTTACTTGATCTAGGGCTTGGAAACTTACATTTCTGTGAAAGGGACCATTCACACTAGTACAAAATTGAATCCGCAACGGAATCAGACGGATGATGTCGAAGCAGTGGCTGTGGGCGCCTTGTCTTTTTAGCTCACCAGAGGCAAAGGCTCAGGGTGAGCTATTAGTATCAAAGGGGGATGCTCCGGCGTCCGTCGTCCGTCGTCATGGGTCAACAATCGTCTTCTTCTCTGAAACTACTAAGCAGATTTACTTCGAATTTGGTCTGTAGCATCCTTGTGACAGTCACACTTGAATTTGCTCATGTCATTCCAATTGGCCCCTTTTAGGGGTCAGCAGAGCTAAAAATAGAAAAACCTTTAAACATCTTCTTCTACAGAACTAATTGATGGATGATCACAAAACTTTGTCTGTAGCATTCTTGGGTAGTCTTTTATCAAGTTTGCTCATATGAATTTGATTGGCCCCTTTTAGGGGCCGCTAAAGCTAAAAATAGAAAAACCCTTAAACGTCTATTTCTACAGAACTAATGGATGGATGATCACCAAACTTTGTCTGTAGCATTCTTGGGTAGTCTTTTATCAAGTTTGCTAATATTATTTTGATTGGGCCCTTTTAGGGGTCTCTAGGGCTAAAAAAAGAAAAACCTTTAATCATCTTCTACAGACTAATTACTAATTGATGGATGGTCACCAAACTTTGTCTGTAGCATTCTTGGGTAGTGTTTTTTCAAGTTTGCTCATATTAATTTGAATGGCCCCTTTAGGGGCCGCTAAAGATTAAAATAGAAATACCGTTAAATGTCTATTTCTAGAGAACTAATTGATGGATGATCACCAAACTTTGTCTGTAGCATTCTTGGGTAGTCTTTTATCAAGTTTGCTAATATTATTTTGATTGGCCCCTTTTAAGGGTCTTTAGGGCTAAATATAGAAAAACCTTTTAACATCTTCTCCTACAGTACTAATTGATGGATGATCACCAAACTTTGTCGGTAGCATTCTCGGGTAGTGTTTTATCAAGTTTGCTCATATTAATTTGATTGGCCCCTTTTAGGGGCCGCAAAAGCTAAAAATAGAAATACCTTTTAAGGTCTATTTCTACAGAACTAATTGATGGAAGATCACCAAACTTTGTCTGTAGCATTCTTGGGTAGTCTTTTATCAAGTTTGCTCATATTATTTTGATTAGCCCCTTTTAGGGGTCTCTATAGCTAAAAATAGAAATACCGTTAAATGTCTATTTCTAGAGAACTAATTGATGGATGATCACCAAACTTTGTCTGAAGCATTGTTTGGTAGTCTTTTAACAAGTTTGCTCATATTATTTTGATTGGTCCCTTTTAAGTCCGCTTAAATTAAAGATAGATAAACATTTAAATGCTATTGCTACAGAACTAATTGATGGATGATCACCAAACTTTGTCTATAGCATTCTTGGGTAGTCTTTTATTAAGTTTCCTCATATTAATTAGATTAGCCCAT